AGATTTAAATCCAATCAGAAAGTATTTGGTTACTTCCATAATGTCCGTGCCATTATTAACACAAGCCCACACGTCTTGCCAAGCCAATCATTATTGTGGTTTGCAAATTTCACAGCGAGGTATGATTGATGAGGTTTTTTTTTCTTCTCTAGTAGTGTACATAGCAGCTCCCAGTGTTGTGAAACTTGGCCAGTGGGGATAAAACTTCCAGATCAGTAGCAGCTTGATTTCTCCATGTTCTATGACTTACATGGTGTCTTCAGCAATAGATGTTCCCGTTGAGTTCTGGAGGAACATAAAGAAAGCATGCCTGATACAGATGGACTGATATACTAGAACATAGTTGAGAAAGAAGCAATGAGCTTAAAGATAAGTGAGCAGAGATTTCTCAGCCTGAAATAGGAAGAACAAAATAATAATAGCAAACAGAAGTCAGACCATTAAAGAATAATGTAGTAATTTCAAAGGATGCAATATATGCATTGCTGGCAAACTAGAGGAGGCAAAAGAAAGATTAATTAATAATGGTTGGGAAATTTCCAAAATTAACAACAGACACACAAAAAGCACAGATTTATGAGCCTTAGCAAACACCAAGCAGGATAAAATTTTGAAAAATCAGAAACCAAAATAAAAAGAAGAACCTTGAAATAGGAGGAAGAAAGGGGATGATGAAAATTCTCTGATATCTGGGACCTGCTGATGACCTTACCCTTTCTCTGACCCTTGCCTCAGGACCCCCTCAGCAGGTATCCAGATGACTCTTCACTATAACTGGACTTCTATACCACCCATCGAGCTACGAGCGTTCATTGTCCTGCCTTCGCTTCCAGTGTCTACTTGAACAGTGCTCTATGGCACTTTTGAAAATAATATTTCTCCTAGGTTTAATTTTTCCCAGTGCCATGCATTTTCTTTTCACCTTTTTGGGTACTTAAGCAATTAAAAATAATAAGGGCAACATGGTTTCCTTGTAAAAATGAAGAAAGTTGAAAATGGCATAAGGAAATGAAAACAGTGTAAGAATGAAATCAAAGTGTACGTATGAAAATGTCACACTGAAGCCAATTACTTTGTATGCTAGCTTAACAAGCTACTTCTTTGTTAATAAAAAAAAAAGAAAAGAAAAAGAGTAAAATTTCCCAGAATCTTATAGCCCAGTTAAATTAGGTTACAAAGTAATTAGATTTCTAATGTTTTTCTCTATTTATACAAACGTTGCTATACCTCTCCTATCTCTTGGAATAACACATATTGTTTCATTTGTTGGCAATACTTTTTCCCACTACTGAAGCATGATGATACGGCTATGTGTATGTGTGTGTACAAGAATAACCCAGCAACCTGGGAGGGGAAAAAGCAAGGGAGTGGAATAGGGTGGGGAGGAAGATATCAGTTAAGTGCTAGGGTATATATGTCTTTAAATGTCATGATGATCTTTTTGTTTTGTATTCTGACTAAAAGAAGATAATGAAAAAATGTGGTACTACTCAAACACAAATCAAAACAACAACAAACAGTATACAAGCATTGGCCTTCAAACTGTGCAAACTTGGCCCTTAGCATCAACGTCGAAGACTGGGGTACAGTAATGGCAGAAGTGACTAATTAGGCTATCTTGTTCTTGGCATTGGATTCAGGACAAATCCTCTTAGTAGCTTCCTTTAGACGAAATTCCTAAGGTTCTTAGATTTTTAAAAAGTCCCAGTGGGGTGATGTCTTGAAGACAAATGTCATTCTGTTTTATTTTGTTTCTGTAAACAGAACTGCAAGGGAATATATGATTGATTGTGGAAGCCTACCATTTGGAAATCAGTTGTCCCTCAAAGACCCACATGTTAAATGCTTGGTCCCCAACCTGTAATGCCATTAGGAAGCAAAAGAACTTTTTGGAGATGGGATCTTGAGGAAGGAAGTTTGATCCTCTGAGAGGCGCTCTTGAAAGGGGTCCTGGGGCTGTGGTCTTTCTTCCTTTGTCTCTTTGCCTCCTGGCTGCCACAAGGTTAAAAAAAAAAGTCTCCTCCACCATATGCTCTCACCGTGATGTGGTACCGTGACATCAGAGGCTTGAAGCAACAAGACCAAGCAACTGTGAAATGAAGTCTCTGAAATCAAGAGCAGAATGAACTTCTCAGTATTTTAAGTTGATTGCCTTGGGTATGTTGTCACAGTGATGAAAAACTGACTAACAGAGGAGAATCAGTGATAGCGATGTAGGTGTTATAACTGTCTGTATCCTGATGTGAAGGGAATCATGCCTGTCTCTAGTCTCTACATGTTCTTTCCAGATGGGTACTATATTCAGAATGAGGTTCCAAAAGCCTAACGATTGACTCACCAAAGCCTGAGACAAGTGCAACACTGCCTTGCTCTACCTCTAAATACAAGATATTTTTCAGTACTTCCCAATGCAAACACTGCATGGAAACTAACAAAAACTGGGAAATTTCAGTCTTCAAGCCTTGATAACTCCTTCATTCATCTAGACTGGTTTTGTGTGTGTGTGAGAGAGAGAGAGAAAGAGAGAGAGAGACAGAGACAGAGACAGAGACAGAGAGGATGTTTACCATTACAAAATGAAACATATTAAACTAACTCAACAAAATAACATTCCAATTAAAATTAATGCCAGTGATATACAATACTGCTCAATTAACTCCAGTAGATGCAATAATGAAAGATTTCTTTTGTGATGCTAAATTCAAAATATCTAAAGGTCTTGTAAGTGAACATACTTTCTATTTAAAGTCCATAAAAAATGAAAAAGGATGTAAATTTGTAACTTACAGAGGAGAAGAAAAAATAAGAAAGAAACACAGGACTTTAGAATTCTTCAATGGAGCCTATTGTGCGTGTGTGTGTGTGTGTGTGTGTGTGTGTTTTTTTAATTGAATTTTCTCCACTGTATGGCCTTTTTTGTAAGCTATCACAGTGTAACTCATTTCACCCTTGAGGCTATCCCAAGTAGAGAGGATGCTTCTTTCTCATGAAAAAAAAAAATTCCACCTTGCTAAGATTTTCATGGTGTACCCAAGTTGTACATTAAAAACCAAAACTGTATTCTTAACTATCTGCGATTCTCTACAAGGAAAGAGCCTGCTGCAATTCCTGCAGGAAAGCCTCCATGTTCTTGCAAACCAGCATCACTGTGTGAGAAGAAAAGAGGACAGCATCTATTGTGTTTAAAAGTCAGCATCAAAGGAGGCTGCCTTTTGGATCAGGAGACGGTCCAGTTGGGCTGTGAATGGCTACAAGGCTGAAAGGGAGGGGGCAAGGACAGCAGCCCTTTTAGAGGGTGGCAGGGCAGTGCTGGGCCTGAGAGAGCTGCATTCAGTGGCTTGGCAGAGCAAAGGCAGGCCACAACTACGCCTTAAGTTGATGCAGAACGAACAAAGAAAATGCCTGTTTTTCAAGAGCTCAATCTCAACTGGGATTCAAGATTGCCCTTTTGATTTTCAAAGGTAGTCCTCTCCCTGTGAAATCTACAAATCACACACACACACACACACACACACACACACACACACACACACACACACACACACACGTATATACAGAGAGAGAGAGAGAGAGAGAGAGAGAGAGAGAGAGAGAGAGAATTTAATGTAGGTTGAATGTGGCTGGATCCTTGTTTGCTCATCTGGGTTCAGTCTCCAATCTCCCTAGCTAGAAGAGGGAAAGGTAGATAAGGGAGAAAAAGAAAGCCCCATTTGGCCAGCCACCTGGGCCCAGCACACACACAGCTCTTTAAGACCAGTTGCATTAGAGGTAAGCTGAGCTTGGCAGCATTGAGATGGAAGGAAACTCTGTGGCAAAAGGGGTGGCAGCAGGGGTGCTACTGATTTTGTTTCCTGTTACTTATCAACAGCCTTGTTCAAAGCCCTCCATCTACCTCTGCTGTGAGGCATTCCCAGAAGTCTCAGGCCCCGGATCATCTAGATTCACTGCACTCGCTGCTGCTGCTGCTGCTCATTTCCCAAGAAAGAGAGCTTTTGATTGTCATTGGATTTGAAGCTACTTTGAATCATCCTTGTTGAAAATTCCAAGAGGCACTCAGAAGCGTGAGTTTGTCACTCACAAGAATCCAGTATGAAGACAGAGAGCTTACGAGGTAGAAATCCTCAGAAAATTGCCTATAATTGAAAGCAGAAGAAAGAATGGGAGTATATAAATGAAGAAATAGAAAGCAAGAAAGGGGAGAATTTGAAATGAACCCTGGTGACACATTTACTTTAAAAGACCAAAGCAGGAGAGTTAGTAAAAGCGAATTTAAGTGTCAGCAAGGAAGGGAGAATGGTTGCTTCCATACGGCTTTAGTTCCCCCAGTTTCAGAATTTTCTGGAATGCCTGTCAATTTCTACACATAGAGGATACTCTGGGTATTTATTTATCAAACAAGACATTGGGCGAGATCCACATAAATATTACTCTTCATTTCTTTCCATTGCTGTTTTCTTAGCACTAATAGTATGGGGACACATGATTCCTACTTCAGCTGCCTGCCTGCTCTCTCAGAAGACAGTGATTGACAGAGAGGACCTGTTAATAGAAGATGCTGACCTCCAGGGGGAGCTCAAAGAGAGGAGAGCTGAGGAGGAAGGGTCAAGATAAATGCGTGACAGGGCGGTGATGGTAGTGTTTTGCTGTTTTTGTTTTTGCTTTTTTTAATTAGGAAAGTGATGGAAAAAGTATTGCTTCAGCACAGCTGAATTCTCAGTCTTTTTTAAAAATCTTGGCTTTTAAAAAAAACTCTCACAAGCAGGGTCATAAACAGATCTGAGCGCGCCTCCTACTACGTAGAAAAATTGTCCTAAAATGAAACAAAAACAAATGAACAAACAAACAAACCCTAGAGTAGGAAATACGCATTAAAAATAAGGACCAAAGGGCCTTATTGACACATAGCCTTCCATATAACCACTGACGTTCTTAGCTCAAGGTACACAAGCAGGTCTGATGGCGTCAAGAATTCCGACACCCATAAATGCACCGTCCTGCCGCGGTCACGGTCGCTTCTTTCAGCTAACACCTGCCCCACATCAGACGCTTTGGTGCTTTCTGACGTTCGAGTTTGCAAACATTGTTTCCACTTGGAGAAATACATTTTTCCAGTTCTCCAAATCTTCATGGTTGACGTTTAAGTGCTCACTAGTTCCCGAAGCCCCGAATTGCTCATCAGACTATCAGGAGCTTTGGTTCCTTTCTCTGAAGATGGGCTTGACTCCAGGGAGGAGAACTTAGAGCAACCTGAAGTTGTGCGCATGTGCTGTAGAAATTGCCAGCGCGCCCTAACTCTTGCTTTGGGGCTCACTTATGTCACTTACTGTGTCCAACTCCTCCAACTTGAAACAGGGGGATATCACTCTTAGAGGGAACTCACCTAAATCCCTCGTCTGGATTATATAAATGTTGTGTTATCATTTAAAAGCAATCGAAAAGACACCGATAACACCTGAATACTATGTTTCCAGGACGAGATGTTAGCCAACCCTCTTGTCTTAAACTTCAAGAGAAAATGCAGTGCACTGCAGAGAAAGCCCTTTTTAAAGTCCTGTGACCAGATCCAAGCAGGGGACTTGCCTTCCTGGTACAATTGAGCATTTCAAAGCAGGAGGGATTAGGGAACAGCCACAAGGCAGGCACACTGCCATGGGCCTGAGCTTCCCAGGGTGAAAAACTTCTTCTGTTGGCCTAAGAGCACAAACATCGCAGTCTTCACCAGGGGTAACTGAGAAAATAACCTAGAAAGGCATCCCTGGAAACCTACACCACCGGTTCGTTTTGTGCGTATTCCACGCGCTCAAGAAATCTGCTGTTTAGTGATTTTTAGTGTTTGGGGGACGGGGGGGGGGGGGGGGGGGGGGGGGGGGGGGGGGGCGTTGTTTTGTTTTTAAATTCAGTAAGTGTTTATCTTGTGTCCAGCTCTGTGCCCACACAGGGGTGTCAGGCAAGTTTTCTGCCTCCAAGAGCTGAGACAAATGTAGACAGATGCCTGGCTTCTACCCAGGTCCACAGCAATGTTTTATTGGGAACACAGTCACTTGAGAGCATTGTAACCCTACTGACCAGAAACTGCACGCTAAGAGCCAGTCTCTAATAATAAAGGACTGCTCAGGTATGAGGCATTCCAGGCATATTTGGGGTCCCATGGCAAAGATTTTAAAGGGATTTGATCAAAAGTCAAAAGAAGCCCTTTCACATGCTCTCACTGAGGAACTCGGCCTGCAGACTGTTCTTAATTGAGAGGCTTTGTTGGCCAAAGTGAGCTGGCCTCAAGCCCAATCACAGGACCCCTTGGAACAATTAGGAAAGCCATTAGGTTTCGTGCCTAATCTCAAGCAACCTTAAGTCTCTCTCTTTCCTGGGATAGTTCGGTAGCAGCACAGGAGAGGGAGTGACCCCCACCTCTCTCCTTTACAGGTAGCCCCAGGCCACAGCACTGACTCCTGCTAAAGGAGAGAGAGTCTTTAAAAAAAAAATTTACAGATATCATTAACTTTCACCGTCAATCTGACTAGAGTTCAATTTTCTTTTGACTATAGTAGGTAGTAACTTTCTCTTTTAAAAAAAAAAAAAAGAAAATTAAGCAACTATAACTCATTTAAACATTATTATTTCTCTGTAGTTATTCTTACTTCTTTTTTATTGTTTATTTTGTGTGTGAATGCAGGTGCCAGTGCAGGTCAGAAGAGGGTATTGGATCCCCTGGAACTGGAGTTATGGATGATTATGGATTATGAGCTACCATGTAAGTTCTAGGAATTGAACCCTGGTCCTCTGGAAAAACAGCTAGTGCTCTTGACTGTAGGGCCAGCTCTTCAGCTTATCCTTACTTCTTAATCCCTTATTACATTCTTGATTTGTGTTTCACTCTTTCTGGAGTGTCTAAGTAAATGTAGTAGCCAGCTGTCTTAAATACACTCGCATATTATTTAATTCCTTAAAGAAAGCAATCTAAGAGAAAACAGAACGACGATATCTTTAAAAGCATTTGTTTTTCTTTTCCTATAAATAAGAGTAAAATCTGGATAAGCATAAGCCCCATTCTTCGTCACTGGCTGGCTTTCACATTTCCATCTTGCCATATTATGGTTGGTTTTGGTTCTGTGGGAAATATTTTAGGAGATAACTTGAAAGAAACATTGGAATCAATTTGTTAAATAAAATAAATGCGTGCCTTTGTATAAGATCCATTATAGCAAAAAATCTTCAGTATTAAGGATGGCAACGCACTTTTAAAGGACCCTGAGAGGATTTCATTTCTTTTCACTGTTTATCATTTTAGTTTTATTTTTGACTATATTTTCGTTAGCTGTTTCAAATCTCTCCATGAATCTCCACTCTACTGGGTAACACAAAATAGAGTCTTATCAATTAACAAGATCTCCCTGTCTTCTGGCTTTCAGCATCTTTCCTGTTCAAACAAAATTCCGCCACCCACGAACTTTAGACCTGTCTAAGACGTGCCGGGAAAAGTCCCCAAATTCGGATCAAAGAATGCTATCTAAAAGATAGTCAAGTGAAAATTAACTCGACATCTTTTTCAAATCAAGCTAAAATTTAACGTTTTCTATGAACAAGTACACATCTTAAAAAGTGATGTGTTTACTCTGCAGCAGATGATGAAGTGCGATGTCTTTCTGTCCCTCCGACAGGTAAGCATTGGGGACATTCAGAATGGGTCACGGAGGAGCTCAGCTGGCAGGTAGGGGCTGTTAGGCCTGCCGCAGGGGCTGATGCTGCAGCAGTAAGAGGGCTTGCCCTGTCCACCACTGCTGCTCCTGCTGGGACAAAGCCAGTGGGAGCAAAGAGGAAAGATTCTGAGGAGCCTGGTGACAGCAAGGGCTTTGGTCCTTCTGAATAAACTCTCTTTTGTAACAGGTACAATAAAAAGCTGAACTCATTAACACAACACAAAAAAAGAAGTGCCATTGCTGTAGACTTCCTTCACACCCACACACTTGGACCTGTCACAGCCAGCTAGCTCCCACACTCTTTGCCCCACCTTGCTGCACCTGGAGAGGGACACCTTAGGGCACACATGGGTCACAAAGAACTGTCCCTCATTGGAGAGACTGCAGCGCTGGACTCAAAAGACAAGGTTTGTAACTGAGTTCCTAAGGCCCACGTGAACCTATCTGTTGCTGTTGGTAACAAAAATGAAATATTCTTATTTTAGTACTAAATTTGAACAAATGTCTAAATGTGTTTTTTTTATTTTTCAAAATGGTGAAAAAAATTAGCTTCTTTATTTAAATGTGCACCAAGAGTTCTTTAACTGCTTATCAAATGCTAAAAAACAAACAAAAATAAAACCCTGAATGAATATTAACATAGATATTTTATCTTTGGGGACAATATGATCCGAAGGTCTATTTAGAAGACAATCATTTCTTACTTGACAGATATCAGCAGATGCTTACAGGCATAACTGAAACTAAGCACTGTTCAATATGTAGAAGGACTTTAATGTCATCTTTTGCGTGTTTTCTTTTTCTTTTCTAGCTGCAAAAGTTCACAAACCAACTTCCAAGGGTTGAAATAGTCTAAGCAATATACACAAAAAGAAACCCGGGTTGGGCTACTTCAAGTAGAGAATCCAATCGTGAAACGTGTCTTGACTTTTCCCAAGGATGTCCTTAGTCACAGATGTGTTCTCCCTGTGAACACAAACCAGGCTCTGTGCACCTTTCATCAGTTCTGATACACCCTCTCTCCTGTTTCCTCAGAAGAACCGGAGGACGGGAAGGAACAGTGTTCCTCCTCCGCTTAGCGTTCTTATCTAATAAAGGTGTTGGATTTCCGTGTGCCGTATCAGAGCTCGTGGCGTGTTCTCCAGAGGGCAGAGCAGGACGCTGTCATCTTGTGTGCTTAATGTTCACCGCCACCCTGTACTATTTTGGAGCTCTTGACTCCCTCACAATTCAAGGTGACAAAAAGGAAATTGTTGCTTTATTAAAACTATTTACTTTTCCAGTTAAAGCAAATACAAAATGCTCATAAATATATAAATAAATCACAAGAACCTCTGATATGGTGTGCTTTTCTCTCAAGGCCACAAAAAGTAAGCCAGAAGAATACAGCCAACACCCTCTGCTGTTGGCAGATCCTAAACATACAAACTATTTAATATTCAACTGGATTTAGGCGCATTTTTTTTTTTCTTGAGTCCCCCTGTAACACAACTTTCAGTTTTACAGTTCCCATCATGGCTGTTATGACCACCCTTTGCCACAAAATATCTGTCTGTCTTTGAATCACACCACTGTTTTCTACTTCTCTGGTGTATCTTTAGCAGTCCACAGATAGTGAAACTTCACATATCTAAATCCTTCACACTTGAACTTCTGGATATCCTCCCCACCCCACCCCACCCCCGTTAACAGAAGAGTGATAATCCACCTTTCCCATAAGCCCCTGCTTCTTCTCTGCAGAGGTTAGATCTGCAATAACACAGTAGCCACCAGCCACGCACAACCCATTTTAAGATCTGAATTATATACATGTGCAATTTGTGTTTCTATGTTGAGAATTTGACTGTCAGCATATTTGTATATTAGCATATCCAGGTGTTCTATAAGCAAATATATATATATATTAAATTCTAAGTAATTAATACAGAAGAATACAACAAATACCAGTTATCTTATTATCATTGTATGTTGAAATGAAATATTTTAGGTATAGTGTATTAAGTGAGTTATGTGACAAAATTATTTCATGGGCTAGAGAGATGGCTCAGAGGTTAAGAGCACTTGTTGCTCTTGTAGAGGACCCAGGTTTGTTTCCCAGCACCCATGTGGTGGTTCACAACTATCTGTCACTTTACTTCCAGTGCATCCAATACCCTCTTCAGACCTTCTCAGGTACCATCTACACACATGATGCACATACATGTATGCAGGCAAAACACTCATGCACAAAAATAAAATGAATACATTTAATTGAAAACATTTTTAATAAAATAAAACTTTTAATATTTTTAATCATGTATATATGTGTGTTTGTCTGTGTGTGGCTATGCCCATATGAGTGCAGATAACCATAAAGTCCAGAAAAAAGGATTGGATCCCTTGAAACCGGAGTTATGAGTGATTGTGAGCCATCTAATATGGGTGATGGACACCAAACTTGGGTCCTTTGCAAGAGCAGTACACACTCTTAACTTCTGGGTTATCTTTCCAGAGTCTCTTTTACTTTTTAAAGTACAATCATGAAAAAGTTTTAAATTTCCTTTGCAGCTTATATATCTATCAGTTAGAAATAGCTTAGAATTGAATCCCTGAATATCATACCATGAGATTTCAACATTTTCCTTCTTAAATCTTTTGAATTTCTCCCCACTACATAGTCTGCTGTTCTCACATGTCCATAATGCAAGCTCAGGAAGCTGTCTCGAACTTACATTCCTATAGTCCATTACCTACCAAAGAATAGTCACTGAATGATGACTTGGTGCCAGGTGTTTTTTCAGGGTCTCTGGGTAACCTTGGGATTCTGAAAGCCATCCATGTATCACTATAGCTAAAGATGAAGATTTAAGGTGATAAGATACAAGCTTGCAAGGCAGAACGACCATCATTAAACAGCTTGTGTGACGTCCAACATTTATGCTGAAAGTAATAATGGTCTTCAAGTTGTAAATTAGGAAGTGATATTTGGCTGTATTTGCAACTAAATATGTCCAAAATAGAATTAATGCTTGTTCTGCCCTGTAACCACAAACCCCAAATCATTCAGGCTTCGTAAAAGGCAGCTTCTATGACAGTCCTTCCCAGGATCATTTCCAAATTTAAAAAGTTATCCTTACCTGTCTAGTTTGACCTCTAATGTACCAGCAGAAACTGTGGGCTTGACTTTTAAACCACAAACCTTTACCACCCAATTTCAGGCCAATAAGCACTCTACTCTTTGTTTAAAAATACCAATGGCCCCTCGTTATTTTTAGAATAAAACCTAGACTCCCTGCTACGGTTTCTATACATCGGTACTTATGTGCCTGCGTCTTTATTCTGTTCATTCCAGCTCTCCCTCTGCTCTCAAAGGATAGTGTGTTTATCAGTTTTCCATCACCACAAAAATATACCAGAGAAAATCAGCTTAAAAGGGAAAAAAATGCTTTGACTTATGGTTCCAGAGGTTTCAGCCTCTAACACTTGTTTCTGGGTCCCGGAATGAGACCAAACACCATGCCAAGACGCTCGTGGTGGAGCAAGGTGCTTGTATTTCAAGGATTACCCCAGGACACAGCCTGTGAAGCTGACTCCATCATGAATCAATCTGTTGTTGAAACCTCAGTCTTCATAATCCAAGTACTTCTCAAAGCCCCACCTCTGGCCATTCCTCCAATGCGAACCAAGTCTTAGCTCAGGGTTTTTGCTTCAGTCTGTCAATGCCAGCCCCCTCACTTACTTGTAAGCCATTTCCTATTTGGGGGGGGGGTGCTCTGTTTAGTAGGTTCTTCCTAGAGACCCAGTGAAGATCAGGGCCATGGATTTTTGCTTTTCTAGTTTTCCTTTATCAGTTTCTCCTGCATTTAAAGTCCTCTTCTGTTTGCCTTTCTCCACTATGATGTCTCATGTATCCATCTTTTCCTCCATCTACCAGATACGTTCAGAAGGAAGTAGTCTAGGTGCCTACCTGGGGCCTACCTGTGATTTTCCCTGCCATGTGTCTTCCTTCCTGGAGAAGACCATACTCTTTTTTATGTCAACACCAACAAAATCACTCCGGATGTAATGTATAAAACAGGGGATACAAATTCATTCCCTTACATTTGTCAAGTGCCACCCATTCCTCACATGTATAAACCAATAGGATATAGGCTTTAGGACAGCAAAGATTTGACTAACCTTATTGACACACAGTGGACTAGACCATTTCTAAATCTCAGTACTTTATTTTCTTAATATATGGGCCTGATTCTCGTGAAAGTCCTGTGTAATGCTTAGAAGAATGAAATACATTGCAAAACATTTCATCCATCAAATGTCTGTCATCCTACCAGTCCAGATCAAGTAATAAATGTGTTTGCATGCATCAGCAAAGAAGTGAAACTGCCCCAGGCAATTAAGTTACTTACAGCTCCTTGTTTGACAAAATTTGGCTGGAGACACTCATATTGTAGAATTGAAGAAAGAATGAGGCATGTAAAAAACGTAGATACAGCCCGACCCTCTTTGTTTAGCTACTGAAAAGGAAAATTCAGCAGCTTTACCCAGAGGAGATTAGTAGTGGAAGAGAGTGGAGGAATTAACATTCCCAGGGTTCTGTGAGGAGCGGGGTGAGGCATGGAGGTGAGGGGAGACTGGGGTAAGGTAGTGAGAGCATCATCTGAGTTCTGGGTTTAGATAATCAAGTGAAGTGACGTTTGCTGTTGTTTCTCAGGAAAGGTCTACAATGGAGAAATCTACTGAGAACTCATTAGCAAATTGTCATTTATTAAAAATGTTTTTAAAATAATGTCCCTCAGATAAAGTATAGACTGTAGAAAATACCAAAAGATCATCCAAGTTTTGAAGAAGGCATGAAAAAAAAGGAAGAAGACACATGTAAATGGGCTGCATTCAGAGAACTAGGAGATGGCTCTAAAGGATGGGGAAGGGGACCGTATACCAACCTGGAAAGAGAAAAAATATATGAAGAAAAGATGGCTGTATGATTTGGGCAGTGCGGGGAATGAACAGACTCAGGCGAGTAACAGTTGTAAGCTTCAGAGTCAGGATGGGAGATTATTACGGGTGGAGAGATCTGTAGATGATAAACCAAAGAAAGAGGTGAAAAAAGGTTTGGAAGCCATGGTGGCAGAGGGAGTCCATCCTTTAAAGGGAGGGAAGCGTAACCATGGAGGAGACATTAGCCTCCTTCATGAGGAAGCTCTCTCCCTCAGCAGCTGGAGGACACAGCAGTAAGTCAATGTTGTCAGGGTAGAGAAAGCTAGGTTGAGCCATTTTTACAATCCTGGCCTTGGTGTTTTGCCTGAAAGTAAAGGGGTCAACATGGAGCCCGCAGCTCTGCTTTCCCATTCCGTATCTACGCAAAGTTTAGGTCAAGCAGGGTAGCACCAATTCCAGAGCAAAAAGAATGACAAGTGACCATCGTGCATAAAGGTGGGGATGTTAGAGAGTGATTGAGATTCGAGATGCAAATGCAGAAACTGCTTCCAGCAGATGCTGCTGTGGATGTTACAGGACACCATTGCACTCTGTAGGGGTCCCTAGAGAAAGGAGAGCCTGGAGAAAGGAGAGCCTGGGACCAGGGCTTCTCCTCCAGCACCCAGGCATTGTCTTCTGCTCTTATTCTGTGGAGTTAGTTCCCTGAGCTCCCTTGAGTCCACAGTCAGTACAGAATACTCAGTAGAGTCTGCCTTTAAAACTTCACAGGACTTAACCAAAACTGGAATTGAATTAACCCTTTTTTGAGAATTAGTTGGCTTATTTATTCCAGCCTTCTTAATAGCCATTCTCTGATGGGAATGCTAAGAGCATTTTCTCTGAGTTTGGTCACACATCAACTGTTAGTAACCACATTCTAAAAGCAGGGGTGCAAAAGAAAGAGAAGAAAATAGCAGAGGAAGAGTAGGAATACAGGGCAGACAGTATTTGAGCAGAACCTTCAGAACCAAAGCTACTCAGCCGTGAAAGGAATGCTCTCCTTGAATCTGCTCATTATCACTTGAGTGGATGGTAGCATCAGAGTTCAAGCCAAGGCTGTGGGGAGACTGTAACTAAATGTGCTCTTCTTCCTCATTCTTCTGTAAAAATTACCTCCAAAAGAGGCATTTGAATTCTGTAGAGAGAAAAATAACAGATGAAAGACTTTGTGAGATTCTAGCCTCTTCGCAGTTTATGAAAATGAACTCTAAGACTACAGAATGTTACTTCTTATTAGAAACACCTGCAGCTGGATCTTCTGAGGAGCGTTATGGCAAAGAGCTGATTGCAGGGCTACCTCATGAAAACTTGGTCTTGTTCAGAGGGCATTTCTTGTCAGAGCCCACTCGATTTTCTCCTCTTGAGAAAATTCCCCCAGATGCCATCAATAGAAGCAATGGTTTGAAAATTTCCAGAGGAAAATATACCACTTTCTTTTTTTTTTTTTATCAACTCTCCTTTTTTTCTCCCCCTGACCATCTATATATTCCTAGCTCCAACAAACCTATCTTCATGATTTTCACATCCTCTATGCTGAGAGAAAACTTCTGAAAAGTCAGAAAAACACCAGCCACATGCACAATTTAGCCCTCCACCCACAGAGCTGCGCACAAAAGAATCTCTCCTCCACGGACAAAAACATGCGCCAACACGAACACCAGACTCCTGTAGCAGGAAGTAAAAGCTCCTGATGAGTGAACTTCTGTGACAAATTTCCCAAACTGGGCCCAAAATAGCCCTTTTGCACATAAAACACCACTTCAATGCAAAAACCCTTACCATCTGGTTATTGTCAGGTCTTGCAAGCGCATAAAGAAAGCTGTTTTTATACTTTGATTTATTTTTCTTTCACCAAATATGCTAGGTTTCTTCCCCACTGTGTGTATTGTGTCTAGAAAACACATATTTAGC